GAAAGGGGCTGGGACAAAATGCTTAGGTTTCGCTTTATAATAGGGTTAAATCCCTGTCTGAAAATTCAAAAGCTGCCCCAACTGTACTTGAAATCTAGGAGTAAAATAAATGAACCTTACTTGGAAATACATAAATGCTATAACATTTAATCAAAGTAGTGGTATCCTTAAGCAGTGAAGTGTACCATGAATTACCCCCTTTTTTAAAAAAAATGTGATTGTCATTTAATATCCCATTCTCAATATGCCATTCTCAGTCTATCATTAGTTAGACTGCATTGCTCCAGTGTACAGTACCTGGTTCTGTGAGTGATCAGAATGCATTTAAGGAACAAGATTAAATGGGGTTGAGTTGGAAATTAAACTTAATTAACTTGCATCAAGTGAGACTGTGTTCCCCTGATTGAAACAGTTTTCCAGCATTTACCAGTTATGGGAATAGGTTGATGCAGACATTTGATTTTCAAGTACGTATATATACACATTCATTTTAAATTTCTTGAAAATCAGCAGCCATTATGATTAAATCCTTCCAAGGCAAATTTCAAAAATAGAGATTTGAAGAGGAAAAATTCAAAACTGGGATTCTGACATTTCGTTCTATAGTGCTTCATTCAAGCTCTTATTCAGACGTATGGCTCATCCTTTTCCCACCACTGTCATTTCTTTTGCACTTGTAGAGGGACAGCCTGAACAGCTCTCCACCCAATGGAAAAACTTGAAAAATCAAGGTTCACAGTCATTTACAGAGCATCCCCAAGCAGAGAAGAATTTCCTCTTCTGATTATTGTTCTCCATGTGCGGAAATGACAATGGAAAGTGGAAGGCAAGCGTGCCCCCTCCTATTTTACTTAAAGCAGGTGACAGAATGCCTGAATAGGGCTTTAATACCAGCAGTTTATCCCCTTCCATATTAATGCCATCTAACAATGTTGAGGGGAAAATGCAAACAAATCTTATGTCACCTCTGATGTTAGAACTGATAGGTCCATCCTGAACTGATGGAGACTCAATTGCCTTTCACTTCCACACATGTACAAGTCACGTGTTCTGAAAGCTGATGTTGAATTCTGGAAATGTTATGTATGCGCAGGTTCCCAGATTTCAAAGCATCAACAAAAACAGAAAGCTGCTAAATCAGTGTGACAACTGAAAGTCAATTGGCATTGTTTATTTCTTCTGTATTTCTTTCAGGAATTGATGCAATGGCCAATCAATTAGATGACATGGAGCACTGCATCCATGTTTGAGTTGATCCATTGCTTGTTTCTAAAGCCCAGAGTCTTAGGAATAAGGATGATGCAGTATGTCTGCAATTGTTTTCATTGTGGAATAAATTTTATATTTTATACTTCAGAGGTGTTTGTTAGCCCCCCCACAACAAGCATTTCCAAATCAGCAGAGGTTCCCCCTTCTATGAGTAACCTTGAGAACAATGCAGTCTTCTCATCCTTGTATTTAAATAGTTTAAAACATATGTAGATTCTGGAACAGCTTGAATCACTGGAGAAGAGGGGCAGAGAACCATAAACACTTTTGGACAACAAGCATGTTTAGAAAAGGCTGGCTTCTTGTATGCTTGATTATACAGTATATTATGTGGAAAATCTGGGAATGCGAAATGTTGTTGTTGATATGTGCTGTTAAGTTTGAACCAAATTATAGCAACCTTAATAGGGCTTTAAAGGCAAGTGAGATATTTAAGGAGTGGTTTGATCAGTTCCACTCCCCCAGTTTCCATGGCTATTAGTTTCCATGGCCAAATGGAGATTTGAACTCAGAGCTCCAGAGTCCTAGTCCATCACTCTGTCCACTACACCACACTGGCTATCTCCAAGAATACAAAATAGAAAATTCTGAAAGAGCATTACTCCAATAGTTCTCCGTTGTTCTTCCCATGAGCCCAGATGTCTTCATTCAGTGATCCTCTAAAGCAGTGGTCCCCAACCTTGGGCCTCCAGATGTTCTTGGACTTCAACTCCCAGAAATCCTGGCCAGCAGAGGTGGTGGTGAAGACTTCTGGGAGTTGTAGTCCAAGAACATCTGGAGGCCCAAGGTTGGGGACCACTGCTCTAAAGCACTAGACACCACTCAGACAGAAAACTGTGGCATCTTCGTCCCTGTGCTACATTGTGGTGGCTTACCAGATGCATATAAATCAGCCTTCAGCTTCATTCTTCTGATAGCTAGGCACCACTCAGACAGAAAACTGTGGTGTCTTCGTCCCTGTGCTGCATTGTGGTGGCTTACCAGATGCATATCAATCAGCCTTCAGCTTCATTCTTCTGATAGCCACTGTGCTTGGGTGCCATCAGTGAAGCTGGTGGAAGAAGGCACTGCAACTTGCTACCCAAACTGCACCCAGCTGAATTCATAGTTTGTCAGGTGGGACAGTTTAGGTATCTGGCTGTGAAGCCAGAGGTTGGGAGTTCAATTCCTCACTGTGCCTCCTGTGAGGAGAGCCAACCTGTGTGGCCTTAGGCAAGCTGCACAGTCCCTGGGTGCCCCCAGAAGGGAATGGTAAATGACTTCTGAGTGTTCTCTCTACCTGGAAAACCCTGAAAGAGGTCACCATAAGTCAGAATAGACTTGATGGTACATGATGGTCATTATAGATCCCTTGATAAGAATCCAAAATCATCCCTACCACTAAGCCAGATGAGGCAACTGCTTCAGGTTGGAGGGTCATGGGTTCCTCCTGGTCTCACATTTCTGTGATGAAGATGGGGGAAGACCTTATGCTGGTCCAGTCTCCTTCTGTACAACTTCTGAGGGTGCAGCCACCTTGCCCTTTTGACTCAAGCAGCAAAATGTCTTGGTCTGCCTTCGCCAGAAATTAGTTTGGGTTCTTACTCTGAGTAACTCAGTTTCAGATGATTGTGATGAACTCACCAGCATTTTGCTTCACTCTGCTGGGGTTGTTTGTTGTTGCTGTTGTGTGTGCATCATGTGACCATCCCATATCACCTTTATGATGACTGGTAAGGAGCGGGAGCCAGGTGTATGGAAACAGCAGTATTAGAAACCTTTATAGTACCTGTGATGGAGGAAGATGGGGGAAGACTTTATCTCACTGCAAGTGTTCAAGATAGATTCAAATGCTGGTCTAGTCTCCTTCTGTACAACTTCTGAGGGTGCAGCCACCTTGCCCTTTTGACTCAAGCAGCAAAATATCTTGGTCTGCCTTTGCCAGAAATTAGTTTGGGTTCTTACTCTGAGTAACTCAATTTCAGATGATTGTGATGAACTCACCAGCATTTTGCTTCACTCTGCTGGGGTTGTTTGTTGTTGCTGTTGTGTGTGCATCATGTGACCATCCCATAGTAATTTTATGATGACTGGTAAGGAGCGGGAGCCAGGTGTATGGAAACAGCAGTATTAGAAACCTTTATAGTACAGATGATTGAAAGATTGTTGCTTTGGGGCTAATTTGAACAGGGTGCAATGTTTTCTTGCTTTTCTTCCCTTCCACATCCTATTTTATTATCACAACAAACCTGAGAGGTAACATTAGGCAGAGAAGTAGTGGTTGCCCCAAAGCCAAGTAAGTTTGAGTGCTAGACCAGGATTCAAAGCCAAATCTCTCCAGCTCCATACTGTCTCCGATGAAGCATGTTTTCTGGAGAACATGCACTGATGTCTGAAAAACAAGACTGCATTATTAAACAAGAGGGAAAAAAGACATAAAGAGCAATGCAGGGAAACAAAGAAGTATCTTTGAGATTCCTGGCACAAAGAGGATCCATGATGTCCATTAGTTAATGAAACACAGAATCACTCTGAGTGTGTGCACACGTGTATGGTTGCACATGTGCATGTATGCACACACACGCTATGCATGTTTTCTCCCTCTATATTTGATATCTACTGGCCTTTGCCTTTTAGAGACAAAGGTGTTGGAGGAGGGAACTTACTACAGTAATGGATTTCATAAAGTCAGATCCTCCCCCAAAGGAGGGAGGCAATGGTTATTTTTAACTTATGGGAGAGGGAGATCTTTAGAGAATCCCCTTGTATTATTTATTAGTCCCATTGGACTTTTATATGCTTCTTAAAACACACTTTTCAGGAGGAATTTCGCTTTCCTACTTGGAGGTTTCTGAGGAGGAGGATGGGCCGGTGGTGGTGTCCTAGCAAGGCTTTAAACGAAATGGCAGCAGTAAAGTTATTATGTTGGTAGAAAGGTTTCTAACTTTTTTTAAAAAAAGTAATGTGAACAAGTAAAACGAAAAAAAAAAATACATTTTGGGTTGAAATGAATGGGGCATTTATAATAGCAGACTGATTTGAGGACTTAAAAAAACGTACACGAAAAAATCGGGGAGAGATAAACTTGTGCCTTTGACAGGAGAAATTTATAGGTCCCTGCCTTTCCCAAACGGGTCCCTCCTCCAATCTTTGATGTTTTTTGCATGTGTTTGGTGACAGCGGGAGGAAGGGGAGTGCGATGTGTTCTGCTTGTTCTCCCATTGTTAACCACAAGAGAGAGAGAGAGCCAGAGGCAGAGAGAAGAGTTGGGTTTAAAAAGACGGGGAAGGGAGGAGGGGGAGAGGAACTCTGCAGATTCCTGTGTCATCTCTCTCCCCCCCCCCCATGTGCACAGGAAAACTCGGTGGGGCTGCGCCTCTCTCCTTTCTCTCCCCTCCTGCTTCATTCCTTCTTGCTTGCGATCGAAGCCGGAGGGGATCAGAAGAACGGGATTGGCTTGTGCCACAAGACGAGCGCTGAGTACTGCTTTTTTAAAAAAAAATCAGAAAAGAGAGCGAGCGGAGAGAAGGAGCGGTTGGGCGGAGGAAAGGCGCTCCTGTCCTTCGCAAGCCGAGAAGCTGCCGGGCTTGTCAATTTCCCTGGTCAATTTCGCTTTGCCACTCACCGGTGCGCCTCTCCTCTCTCACCAGCGCCAGCCGCTTGCCGGTGCTGCCGCTCGCTCTCCCTTCTCCACCCTCGGGTGCGCGCGGGTGCGCGCGTCGCTCGCTCGCTCGCTCCGTGCCCGCGCGTCTCCGCGTGCCCGCGCCTCAGTGTGAGAGAGGGAGCTCGGGAAGTTTTTTTCTTCTTCTTCTTCTCTCTTTCCCTCTGGTTCCCCCTCCCCATTTGCCGCTTCTGCTCCCGAGACAGTTCTTAAAAAGCAGGAGCAAAGGAGATGTTACAACAAACCTAGCCACGAGGAAGGCGTCTGTTTTGGGTGTTGTGATTGTTTCAAATAGTCTCTCCCCCCCCCCCGCGCCCCGTTTTCTTTTTTCTTTTTGAATGAAACTGACCCGGGTCACCTGTTACCTCTCAGTTTTTAGATCGCTTTGAACTTCGTGGAGGACTCTCTCTCTGTCGCTCTCGCTCCTTCGTCCGCACACACTCCCCCTCCATCTACTACAGCCACAGGACGAGAAGGGAGCTCCGCGGACTTAAAAAAAAAATAAATACCGTCGATCTTACCAAGAGGGACTTTACAGTGGTCTTCTGAAGCATGGGCTGCATCTGCCGGATTGTCGGGCTTTTCTTGGGAGTATTACTACTAGCGGAACGAGCACGCTGCCAACATGTCAAGAACAACGTGCCGCGGCTAAAATTATCCTATAAAGGTAAGCCCGTCTTTCTTCTTGGGTTGCCGGGGATCTTTCGCCAGGATTCTGCTTTATGCCTAGGTGGATTTGCCCTGCTGGTACCTGACTCAAACCCACTTCTCCTCCTCCGAGAGATCGGGGAGGGCACCGTTTCCTTGAAGACAAAGGAACCGGCTCGCATAAAAGCACCCGAGGGCGTCTAGCAATCCTACGTGGTTCTGGGCTGATGCGAAGGGTTGCTCCGCATCTCTTCTGACTTCGCACACGTTCAGCCCAGGGAACCTCGGTCACCCATCAGCCCTGGGCGGCTCTCCTGCGCTTGACCCGGGCGGACGGAGCTTTTGGGACCCCCAAGTCTAGCCACCCCCACCCAGGGTGTGTGTGTGTCCGGATGATCGGTCTGTCGGTCGGATCTGGCAAATCATCCTCCGGGCAGCTCGCAAGGATCGATCTCGTCTCGCGAACCATCAAACGGCAAAAGCCCAAGGGTCAGATCCCCCCCCCCATGGGGAGGGAGGGGAGGGAGGGGGGATGGATGTGTCCTCTAGGCTGCTTGCATGGATTTGGCTGCGGGTTCAAGTAGCGACAACTGAGCGGCCGGGAAACGGGAGGGCCAACAGGTTAGAGGCTGGGGCGAAAAGGGGCAGCATCCGCGGCGGGAGGCAGGATTCTGCGCTCCGGCGTTCAACTTGCGTGCCGCCACTCCCCCCCCCCGCACGCACACACACACACACTCCGCCGCCGCCGGCGCTCTTCGGAGGGGGAAGCTGTAAAGGGGGCACGCCCACTCTTTTCCCCCTCCACGGAGGACTTCAGGAGCCCCAGCGGTCCTGCCGGCCGAGCGGAGGGACGCTGGGATGGGCTGGGAGCTCGTGGGCAGCCCCGAGCGCCTCTTGGAGGCGTGGAAAGAGATGGCCGTGTATTGTTGTGGAATTGTTGCCGCCGGGGTTGGGGAGGAGAAAGATGAACCCCAGCTTCACACGGGAATCACAAGCCACGAAGCTTCATTTCGCCTCTCGTGTAAAAAAAGCAAGGGGAAGGTGCTTATAAACCCATCGTACATTGGATTAGGGCCGTGCGGGGGGGGGGGCGGAGGGCGTCCGTGTCTCAGATTTCCCATTCGTTTTATAATGGGAAATATTCGCTTTTTGGGTTTTTTTAATTGACACCTGGGGTTTTGTTTTGTGAGGGATTTTTGTTTTGTTTTGTTTCCTTGTTGCTGTTTTTAATTGCGGGGGGGGGGGCGGGAAGCGAGGGGAGGGGAGATAACCTGCTAAAGATCTGGTAGCAATTAAGTTTGCATCGCTCCGGCTGCTTACATTTCAGTTCCACTGAAGGCTCCGCTAAAGGGCAGTGTGTAAGAAACGACACCTTCAATTGCCTGTCACATCGCCAGTGAAATGGGCCAGGGAACGTCCTTTGCTTGGCTCGGCTTTGGCAAACACCTATTTTAAAACACATGTCTGTTCTGACTTCATAAGAGAAATCAATGCATGCACTGCTCCTATGTAGTCTAAAACGATCTCCCCTGTGTATTTGTATGTGTACCTGCACATGTGTGAGTCAGTGTACGAGAAGAGAGAGTTCTTGGAATACAGGAATTAACTCACCAGGAAGGCTACTTAAGAAAAAATGCAGGCAAATTACCTTTTTGCTTTCTAATATGAGGTGCCACTGTACAATCCGACTTGTAAGATTCCCCGAAATAGCTACTTAATTGCTTTTGATCCAATTAACCTTAATGTGTCTAGTGATGTGCAATTACATGTACAGTTAGGGGATTAAACTTGCTGATTTCAAACTATCTGTTAACAAGGGCTCATTAGGAGGAAGGTCGGGTGCTGTGTTTAGCTCTCTTCGAGGCTGTTCTGGATCGTATTCAGGTATACACAGTTTGCCAGCACCAAGTCATACTGAATTCAGTGAGAATTACTTCTGAGTAGACTTGTATGAAAATGCTATGCATGACTGTAATTCTATGCACAATTGCTTGGGAGTGAATCCCAATCAACTAATTTGTGAGTATATGTGTGTAAGACCATGCTGTTAAAGTTTGGCAAAGTCCTAAATCCTGCCACCTCCCAGAAGAGGGGATGTTTGTGTATATTCCATGAGTTTGGGTCATGTGCTTATTTCATCCTGATGAATTCAAGTGTGGGATATTGTTGTATTGCGCCAGTATGTGCTAACATTCTTCTGATCTGATACCTGCATGGTGATTTCTTGCTTCTGCTATGACCTTTTAATGGCAACTAGCTTTGATATCCAGCAGGATAATAGAAGGTATGAAGCTATGAAGTAATGATCTAACTTATATTTGCCCTTAAATAAGTCCCACTAGATCTAGCACTAGATCTAACCAAAGTGTACCACTCTAGGGGAATTGTTACTCTTTGGTATTGTTTCTGGCTTTTAGTTTCTAGCTTTCCAAGTATTTCATGACAAGAATCCTACAGATTTTTCTGTATTATTTTTCCAAATTGGGGTGGGGGCAGATTAAATTTGAATTAGAGGATAAGAATACTGCTATGCCCTGTCCTTCATGGTGGCACTGGATTTTCAAACCTAGGTTCCTCTGATCCAAGCCATGCTTCTTTTGTAACTAGTACTTAAATTAAGCAAATAATAACAAAGACAATAGCAAAGCTAGTAGCAAATAAACTGTAGCACCCAAAGGTCAATTCTTCATTAGGAGCATTCAGTGCTTCTGAAACTAAACATAAATTTAGCAAAAGCTTAAATTTAAGCGTGTGAATAGTGCAGAATGTATGTGAAATGCTTTGGATATGTGATGTGCAGTCTTAGATACACCTACTCAGAACCAGTGCCATTGACTGCTGTGGGACTTACTCCCAGGTAAATGGATATAAAACGGGACCCTTAATGGGCTATGAAAGCAAGGCTAAGCACTATTGTTGCCCGAGCTACTCACACACCTCCCTCTGTGGCTTATGCTACATTACATCCTTTGAGGATCAGGGCTGCTAACTGGAGTGAGGGGTGTGTTTTAGTAGTGCCAGCAGTGCCATAAATATCTAGTTACTGGGAGACACGGGAGAATAAAGAGCTCAAGCTAATAAAACTTTGGATAATTAATTGTCCTCCTAATGCCTCCTTGCTGGGAATATTTCCTCGGTGAAATAAGCACAGCAGTTGCTTCAAGTGTTCTCTGTGTACTGGCAAAGTGATGTGGTTGCGCAGCAGATTAATACGCTGTGAACATCGTGGTGGATTTCTGCATGACAGCGCTGTGAGGCATGTTCACGCCACTGGGAGCAACACTGGCAGTGGCTGCTCTTGTTATTTCCTTGCGCTACATGCAATGTAGCAACATGGCCCTTTGGCAGGTCCCTTTAAGGAATGGGATGCCTTACAAGTTTAATAACGCAAACTGTGAAAAGAATAGGTTCGTGTGCATGTGCATGCACACATGTTCATGTACACACAGAAACTTGCCAAACCATGGTTGTTCTCTGATTGCGCTGACTGTTCCCACTGTCATTTGTTTGTTTTCTCTATGTGAACCACTGGGGGGCTATTTTTGTGGGCCAAAGCAAATGCAGCGTGGCCAACAGGTGCCACAAAAGAATATGAAGCATTTATTTATGCACCATTTATTCCAGCCATCCTCATCTCGTTAGATGTGAAACATAATTAAAATGTGAAAAGAGTTTTGTCTGAAAAGAATTTGGAGAGTGGTCCTTTGTCTTCAGAGGTCTGCCATCAGCTCTGTCATTGCTCAGGTTGCCAGAGAGAAGTTTCAATATCCTCTCCTTTCTTGAATCCTTCTAACTTCCTATCACTCAGCCTTGTATTAGATTAGAGCCATTCTATACCGGGTGGTGAAAACATACTGAAAGGATGGCTCTTGCTTTCCACAGTGGGTTGTTTACTAGAAACGTAGGTACAAATCACTCCACAAGTCTGAAAGAGCTCTGAGATATTTTTCCCCCAGTTGCATCACTCACCAACCAGATCTAATGGCAAATCACTTTTGAAACATGGGCACATTTTTAAAAATGGCTTTTGATGTGGCATGTGTGGTTGCTTCTCTTCAAGGGGAAAGCAAAATGTTCCACTGGGTATACACAGGTGCTTCGATATGCCTGGAGTACTTCTTTGAATTCCAGTAAGAAGTTATTCCATAAGTAGGATCTCATCCAGGAACCCGTTCTCTTTCTATTGAAACAGTCACAGTACAACCAAGGCTGAAAGAGAATGCAGTGTGTACTTGCTTATCAGCAGGACAGACAAAACTTGTAGGTTGGTCAGTCAGAGAAGACAAATCTAAAACATCATGTCTTCAAGCATTATAACTTTTTTCCTGTTGCCAAAACACAGAGCAAAATGGAGACCACGTAAGGTGGTCAGGATTCTACTGTCTGCTACAGATGAGGTGCCTCTTCTTGCACAGATTGCAAGATCAATTACACATGAGGTTGCACAAGGAGGATCTGCTGGAGCAAGGTAGGGAATGCGTACACAATTTCCCTTCCATTCTCCATTTGGATAACAATATACAGTACTAAGTTGTATCTGAAATGTCATAAAGTAATGAGCAAGATATTGAGTTCATCAGAATTGTTATTCAGACAGGATGTAAGGGCAGGATAGGATGCAGAGAGAGCCTGAAACCTTAGCATGGTATAAAGGCATAAAAGTCAATGGTCTGTGAATGTGCTAATTGAGATTCTACAAAGTTGACGGCAAACAATTTCCAATGAAGTTAGTAAATCAGGGGTAGGGAAATGTTGGCCTCCCAACATTGGTCATGCCAGATACGACTGATGGAAACTTTATAGCAAAACATTTTGAGGCCCAAACCTGGCAGATGCAAGCTTTCAATCTACAATAGTAAAAATGATGTTAATAGGGTGAGTGGCTAAGTAGTACGGCTAATATGTTAAGCCTCAGCTTATTGCAAGGGCGATTTTGAACATGAAGGTATTAAGTAGGATCGCCCTTACAATAAGCTGAGGCTAAACATGTTAGCCATATTCCTATATCATGTGAGACTT